AAAGGCAGTGAAATAAAGCCACCAAAGGTATTTCTCTGGGATTATGATGATGAGCAGAGGGATAAATTAGTTTGGAAGAAATATAGCCTTAGCAAAAACAATAATAATATAAAAGGAATACATTAATCTTACTAAAGCAAGTATATACCTGAATATCTATTTATCAACCAGATACAGGCTGATGCCTATTACCTACTTAGTCTTCATAGTCATACTGCTCTTAATGTGGTTAATCAGGATCTCACATCTTTTTAAAGTTCTTCTAGTCTCATTGGGATGCAATCCATATCAGAATAAAATGAATGCACTCTTTCTCTCTCATCTTACCTCATAATATCTAAACTGTGGTTTCCTTCCATGGAGTTGGAAGTAGTACTTTATTTCTAAATAGGAGATGCTTGGACTAAGCCTACTTAGAGTGAGGTACTCTGTATTTTTACCAGTCAAAAGGCACTGTGCAGTTAGTCCACCTTTTTCTTCTTAAATGTTTTCAATAAAAGAAAAAAGATGAAAACTCCAGTAGAAAAATATGGGACAATCTTGAACAGAAAACAATTCTCAAATGGAGCAAGACAATTGTATAAAAAGTCCAATTAACTGTCATGCCGTTCACAGAACATGGCCCTCTAACTAAGATCTTAGGCTTTAACATGTTATTAAAATTTTGAGCACCATTATTTCTGGGTTTGGGAAACCCGAATATAATAAGCCTTTCTCTTTTTGGAATACAGAATTAGCTTTCTATGTCTTCTGATCTTGGTTATTATTATTACATAATCTTCATACATTCCATAAATTATGAAAATTATCATCCATACTATGAATTAATCCTCTTGACCTTGACCTCTCCCTCCTCACAGCAACAACCCTGGTTTAGTTTCTCTCTGATAATGGCACAATATCTACATCAACCACCCCAAAAAGGCACGTTTAAATTCCATTGATTTCGAGGGAAGAGCTATGCAGCGGTTTGTATCTCTCCAGAAATCAGTGGGACTTAAAATTGCACCACTATGCTGAGATGGTGCTCCATAACTGTAAGTTTATCTTTCCCTAATGTTTATTTAAGCACGTTTTGGATGGGATTGAGCTACTACAGTTACTATTATTGCAGCAAGAAGACGCCTCAGGCGCACTGATGTGGTCCGACGACCTCCCTCCGGGACCCGCTTTTAGGCCAGGGACCAGCGCGCCCACCCCCCGCAGCCTTTCCCCTCCCCTACATCTCGCGCGAAAGGGGCTATTTCCCGTGGCTGGCATCGCCGCTCAAGGGCCGTTGCGAGGCACCAGAGCCTCTCGCCGGGCTGCGCTTTACCTCTAGAAAGGAGGCGCCCTCCGCCTTTGCCAAGACTCCTGCAAGGCGTGTCGCGGCCGCGCCCTGGCGCTATCTCTGCCTTTCCACCAGAGGGACTGAGCCGGCTCAGAGACGCGGTCTTCCTTGGGAAAAGAAGTTTCCTCTTCACACTCCGGACTCAAGGAGAAGAGCTCCGGTTGGCGTCGCAGGGAAAGACGACCCATCCACCTCCTCCATTCCCGGTAGACAAGGTTGCCTGAGAGCGAGCCGCCGAGGGCACCTGACTGAGGTAGAGGCTGCGTACGCTCGTCCTGCCGCCCATACCGCGCACTGTGACCCTGGAGAGAGTAGGGCTTGTGGACTTTCCATGCCGGCGGAGGCGGTCCAGCCGGGCAGAGCAACGAACGGCTGCCTTTGCTAGCCCTGCATCGAAACCGAGGGGGACCAGATGGAGTGGGTGGAGGAGGGAAGTCACGGCCCGGGCTTAACCCTCGCAACGTTTTGTGGGGCATAGTGTAGGGGTCGCACGCGCGTCCTCCAGAGCAGCGCGCGCGCGCGCGCATCTTGGAAGCGCTGTCCACCGGCG